CCTGAACATGCATGCAGTTCTGTCGGACCCCAACAAGCGTATCCTCTACGACGTTGGTGCCTACGACAGCGACGGCGACGATGAGGTATGTATCTATGCATGTATGTTGCTTTCTTTATTATTGTTGGTTGGTTCACCTCTTGTTGGTGCTTTAATTTTACTTATTAGGGTGCAGGAGACATACTGGGAGACATCCTGGAGGCCATGAACCACACACCCCCACACGTAAGTGAGAGTCAACTCACGCTGCTGCCGCTGCTGCTTATAGTTATACTAGTAGATATCATGGAGGTTTGAGCACTTCTTACTTACTTATGAGCTATTCAGCACCATATATACCAATACTAATACCATGCATGCATGCATGCAGCAGGAAGACGGCGAGGGCGAGAGCTTGGAGGATCTGCACAAGCAGTTCGAGGAGCTCTTCCTCAAGCCCGACGCAGCCTACTCCTCCTCCTCCTCCAAGACAAGGGCCGCCGGCAGGAAGTAGGCTCCCAAGATGAATGAATCATCTTCATGCGTGGTCGTGGAGATTTCATCCGTCAGAATAGATCATGTCATGCTTGGCTATTGCTAGCTATCCACGGAGAATCACCCAAATTAATGTTGAATGTTCAGCTAGAGTAGCATAATACGTATAGCCTAGTAGTCACTAAATGAAGAATTTATTTAGGCGTCATGCATCCACACCTGCCTAGACTATGATTTTCCACCTAGCTTGTGATTGTGATTTCTGTAAAAGTATGAAGCGTTCCTACTCCCTCGAGGGGAGCCGCGTGCGTATATATATTGATAGAGCCGAAGGACTTGCCTTGGCGTACAAGGATGAGTACAAGAGTTTGAATACAATAAGAGATAGAGGAAGAGGTTGAGATTACAACGATATGATGATTTGTTCTAACACCCTCCCTTAATCTCAACTATCCTAAATTAAGATTGCTCTTGAACTCATCAAATGATCGTGTTGGTAGTGCCTTGGTGAAACCATCCGCCACTTGATCCTTGGAGGGAATAAACCGTATCTCAAGTTTCTTTGCTGCAACCCTCTCTCGCACAAAGTGAAAATCAATTTCTATGTGCTTTGTCCTTGCATGGAACACCGTGTTTGCAGACAAGTATGTTGCACCCAAATTATCACACCATAAGTATGAGATACGATTATTTTTGACTCCCAACTCTTCAAGAAGTGATTCAACCGAAATAACTTCAGCAGTTGCATTAGCCAAGGATTTATACTCAGCCTCTGTGCTTGAACGTGACACGGTGGCTTATTTTCTGGCACTCCAAGAAATAAGATTAGACCCAAAGAATATTGCAAAACCTCCAGTTGATCTTCTGTCATCACTACATCCTGCCCAGTCAGCATCAGAGAATGCGCTCACAAGAGTGGAATTAGAACTTTTGAAATGAAGTCCTATTCCCATAGTATGCTTTACATATCTTACAATCCTCTTGACGGCTGTCCAATGTGCAGAAGTAGGTGCATGTAGATATTGACAAACCTTGTTGACAGCAAATGAGATATCCGGACGTGTGAGAGTTAAATATTGCAATGCTCCCACGGTACTCCTATACCTTGTACTTTCTTCCTCTTGAAGTGGCTCTCCTTCATATGCTGAAAGTTTTTCTGAAGAAGACAAGGGTGTAGGTACACTAGTAGAAAACAGGGCTATGGTCCAGGCCGGGTCAGCCCATTAGTCCCGGTTCAGTCTAGAACCGGGACTAATGTGAGCATTGGTCCCGGTTCGTGCGGCTAAGGCATTAGTCCCAGTTCACTCGGGCCCTTTAGTCCCGGTTTAAGACATGAACCGGGACTAAAGGGTGCGATGACCTTTAGTCCCGGTTTGTGCCTCAAACCGGGACTAAAGATTAGACCTTTAGTCCCGGTTTGAGGCACGAACCGGGACTAATGGGGTTGAGACCTTTAGTCCCGGTTCGTGCCACGAACCGGTACTAAAGGTCCCATTTTCAAACTCTACCCCCCTGGATCGCCTTTTCAGTTTTAAAAAAATAAAAGAAAATAATGGAAATGTCAAAAAAATAAAAGAAAATAAGTTTCTCATGTGATATGTGGTCTAGTTGTTGGGAAAATTTGCAAATGTGAATTTTGACTTTATTTGCAAAATCTCTCTGAAATTTGTAAAAATGGGCATAACTTTTGCATACTAACTCGGATGAAAAAGTTTTTTATATGAAAAATCATCTACTCGAAAAGTTACATCCAAATTTAACGGGGAAACCCCGTTAAACATTTTCAAAATCCTCAAAAACCTAATAGAAAAAAAGTTACGGGGCTTTTAAGATCTAGAGTGGAAAAAATTGAAAAATATTCAAACAGTGGGCAAACTGTGGTCAAACAATGGTCAAGCTAATTATTCTAGAATATTAGTGTTACTAAATAATTATTTTAGTTATTTCAATTTTGGTCAAATCTGGTCAAACTGTGGTCAAACTGTGGTCAAACAATGGTGAAACTAATTATTCAAGAAATATTAGTGTTACTAAATAATTATTGTTTTTTAAAACAATAGTTTCAAACTCAAACAGTGAAATGTGTCACTTCATGCTCAAGAAAAATTCCTGAAGGTTAATAGGATTGACATCTTACTATTGTCAGGAAAACAACAAGTGCAGACTTGGAGCGAGGGAGAATAGAACCCGGAAGTTAAGCATGCTCAGGCTGGGGGAGTGGGAGGATGGGTGACCTTTCGGGAAGTTAGATGATTTGGAATGATGAGGGGTGATTAGAGGATAAATTGAGAAGTGATGAGGGGTGGTGATTACAGACTAGAGGTTAAAATAATTCAGAAGTTTGAAAATAAAAAAAAAATTCAAAATTTTTTTTCAAAAAAAAAATCATAAAATTTCCTTTAGTCCTGGTTGGTGTTACCAACCGGGACTAAAGGTGGAGCTCCACGTGGCCGCACCCTTTAGTCCCGGTTCTAGATTGAACCGGGACTAAAGGAAAATCATAAAATTTCCTTTAGTCCCGGTTGGTGTTACCAACCGGGACTAAAGGTGGAGCTCCACGTGGCCGCGCCCTTTAGTCCCGGTTCTAGATTGAACCGGGACTAAAGGGTCAAGGCATTAGTACCGACACTTTAGTCCCGGTTCAGGAACCGGGACTAAAGGCCCTTACGAACCGGACTATAGGCCCTTTTTGTACCAGTGGTACTGGCTTACAATTTTTCATTCCCATACGAGACAGAAGTTCAGTGATGTATTTCTCCTGTTTTAACATAATGCCATCTTGAGTTTTCTTGACTTCAATACCTAGGAAGAAGTGCAAATCACCTAGGTCCTTTAAGGCAAACTCTGAACTCAAGTCATGCAGAAGAGCATTAGTGGCATTTTGTGAAGAACTTGCAACTATGATATCATCAACATATATAAGCAAGAAAATAACCACTCCTGCCTTGTTATAAATAAACAAGGATGTATCAGCCTTTGAAGCAAAGAAGCCAAGAGATTTCAATTGTAAGCTCAGTCTGGAATACCATGCTCTAGGTGCTTGTTTCAAGCCATAGAGTGCTTTATCAAGCTTGCAAACAAAGTGTGGAAATTTCTTACTTTCATATCCAGGTGGCTGTCTCATGAACACTTCCTCTTCTAGAACACCATGCAAAAACGCGTTCTGTACATCTAGCTGTCTTAGGCTCCATCCTCTGGAAACATCAATGGCTAGCACAAGTCTGATAGTTGCAGCTTTCACAACAGGACTAAAGGTGTCCTCATAATCAATGCCATAACGTTGCTTGAAGCCCTTTGCAACCAAACGTGCCTTATACCTGTCAATGGAGCCATCTGCCTTCTTTTTGATTCTGTATACCCATTTGCAATCAATTATATTTTTACCTTTCTAGTTTGGTACAAGATGCCAAGTTTTGCTTCTCATCAGTGTAGAATATTCCTCATCCATTGCCTTCTTCCACTTGGGATCATCAAGTGCACTACTCACAGTTGTTGGCTCTCCTGAAATACACAACATGCCATATGATATAGTTCCATCCGTTCTTATCTTTGGATTTCGTATACCTTTTTGTAGTCTAGTCTTGACTCTTGGAGAAGCCACAGATTGGACCGCAGGTGCACTTGCTACAGCCGTTCCAGGAGAATCAGGCGCTGACGCAGAAGAATCTGCCGCAGTTTGCACAGGAGGTCCTGTGGCCACCGGTGTGGCCGCCGCTCCTACAGGCACGCAGGAAGTAACTGCGCGGCGCGGCACAGCGGATCCGCAGCCCAACTACGGCTACATGCGCACGCGGGGCGAGGAAGATGCGGTCCCGCTGCTATCCCCACCTGTCAACGATGCGGCGCCATGGGATTGGCTGGACCGAGAGCCGAAGCCGCTGCTGGTGGGAGCGCGATCCAAGGAGGATTCCGTCGCGCAATCCAAGGACTGCGCGTGTGCAGGCGTACCAGGCGCCGCCGGATCATCCTCGTTGTCCGTGCCCGGCTCGTCTCCTTCTTCAGCATGAAATATAGGATCATTTTGAGCTGGATTTTCGAGATTTTGATCATTTTGAGCTCTGTTTTCTCCAGGGACCTGCACAGGCATAAGAGTAGGAGCAGTACCAGTAGGAATATCATCACATTAGTTAGTACAATCATCGCCCCCATGATCAAAAGTCCAAAGATGTGTAGGAAGAAGAAGAATTTCTTTGCGAAGGAGGGCACCGGCATTGGGATGAAGTGATGCAAAAGGGAACACGGATTCATCAAAAACAACATCTCTAGATATGTAGACCCTACCAGTAGGAACATCAAGACATTTAACCCCTTTATGCATAGGGCTATAGCCTAAGAAGACACATCTTTTGGAGCGGAAAACGAGTTTGCATGTGTTGCAGGGTCTAAGATTGGGCCAACATGCGCACCCAAAAACACAGAGTGATGTGTAGTTGGGCGTAACACCGAGGAGACGTGTAATAGGTGTGTCAAGTTTGATAACTTTGCTTGGAAGCAAATTGATGAGGTATGTGGCAGTTAAAAAGGCTTCATCCCAGAACTTAAGTGGCATGGATGCATTTGCTAGCAGTGCTAGTCCCATATCAACAATGTGACGATGTTTTCTCTCGGCAGAGCCATTCTGTTGGTGAGCATGAGGACAAGAGACATGATGAGAGATGCCAAGCTTTTGGAAAAAAGAGTTCAACTTCTCATACTCACCACCCTAGTCGGTTTGCATAGCAATGACTTTGGAGTTCAGTTTGCGTTCAACAAGGTTTTGAAAATTGATAAAGACTTGGAATACATCGGATCTTTTTTTCAACAAATAAATCCAAGTAAATTTACTATAATCATCAATGAAGCTTACATAGTAGGAAAATCTCCCAACTGAAGTAGGGGCTAGTCCCCATACATCTGAGAAGATGAGTTGTAATGGAGAGGTAGATACACTAATAGAAATAGGGTAAGGCAATTGATGACTTTTAGCTTGTTGACACGGATCACAAACTGACTCAACACTAAGACTAGGCTCATAAGAGA